TGACTTGCCCAATGCCAAATGCTTTGAGTGCCTCTGCAGGAACAGCCATTCCTGTATTTACTGCAGAAAGCTTCATTCCTTCCTGAGGCATCTGCTCCTGGGAGGAAAGGCTGGGGAGAATTGCCCCACTGTGGTCAGAGCAGAGAACTTGCAGCCTGTGAAGGAGAGCATTGCGAAAGGCATGGGGAAGGAGGTGGAGCTGAGCAGTCTCCCTTGTGATTCAGCTGTGATTTGCCTCCCAGGTTCTCTCAGGCCAAAACATACGACCTTGATAAGTGCAATGTGGCCTAATTTGGCTCAAATCAGATGGTAACACCCAAAAACCCCATGATGCCCCTTCCAGGAATGAAGAGAGCCCTGGATCCCTTAATGAAACATGGGTCCATTCATGATGGCCCACAAGAGGGAGCCCAAGAAATCCCTGTAAATAGCTTCCACCCCCAGCACACAACGCAGTAGACTTTGTAGGGGACAGAACGCAGCCTTGCTATAGATAGTACAGCATAACAGAGGTCTTATGCCTGGCCCCAGCATTTGGGATCCTCGCAAGGCTCTAGTGCATGTGGTGGTGACAGAGGGGGTCAGTGCTTTCAGACCCGGGTCTTCAGAGTTAAGCTGTAACCTCCCGTAAGGAGCAGAGCTGGTGTGTTCAGCAGAAGTATCTTCCACTGAATCCAATGGACTTTGGCTCAGGTGCCCGGCACCGGGTTTGCAGTGGGTTTTGGAGTGGATCTGAGGAGTAAAAGAAGGCAGGGGGGAGTCCTGTGGAGCACCTAAACTCTGCAGAGCACCATCTGCAGCAGCCTTGAAGGGTGCAACCCTGCCAGGGCAGCTCCAAGAGGCAAACGTGAGGAGTCTGAGGTTCAGCCCTTCCTCTGCTGGGGCTGGTGTCAGTGCAGCCAACCCATCCAACGAACTGGAAGGCATAGGGAGGAACTGAAGAGAAGTCCGGGAGAGGAAGAACATCCCAATTCCACCATTCTGAGCTGCTTGGGATTCTTCCGCTTGGGGGAGATCTTTGGAGCTGTCGGAAAGGCAAAAGCCTTTCCAGGCTCTGAACTTTAAACCAAAGCATTCCTGTGGGTGCTGGAGAATCCCCGTTGCTCATCAAGTGCCTGCCCCCACAGGAATGGGCTGGATGTGCAGGCATGGTGCCACAGACTGGGGCTCTTCCCAAGGTTTCCCAGGAGGCAGGGGGAGGGAAACGCTTTGTGTTTTAGGTGGATATTCCAGGAGTTACTGCTTGGGGAAGGGCTTGGGAGCGATTCAGCCCAAGGTGGGCTCTTGTTCACATCTCTCCTGCCCACTCAACCACTCTTAGTCATGGCCAAATGGCCTCTTAAGAGCTAAGAGGAGCAGCACCTCCAGCCTTAGTCAGCCTGATCCAGCCTCACCCAGCACACCCCTGGGAAGCACAGGAAGAGGGGGAATGTGGATCCCTGAGCATAGTGGGGCAGTGGGGGAAGCTCAGCCGGCTGCAGAGTGAGGAAACAGCAGCACAAGAGTTAGGGCCTAAACCTTCAGAAGTCCTGAGTGCCCTTAACTGTCATTGATTGCCAGAGAAGTTCCCTCTTGGGAAGCATTAGGAATTCATTGTGCCTAAGGCAGCTGGAGGAGGCAGCAGTTACGCTCCTCAGCGTCACCAGCTCTGACTAATTACTCTCCAAATGTATTATTCAAAATACCCTTAATCCAGTAAAGTGGCCTCTCTCTGCATTGCCTTATTCAGAAACCCCATGGCTTTCCTGCAGGATGGGCTCCCAGCAGCCAGAGGAAAGCGCTGGTTGTGCTGCAGTCTGCAGGCCTGGAGGATGTCAAGCCATGAAATCCTCTGATCCCGCAGGTTTCTCCTTTCCCTTCCTCTTTATTGCACTGCTTGAGGAAAAACGATCCAGCTGGGAGGTTTGGCCTGCGAATGGAGCGTGGGGCCGTCGTCTGGCGCCCTGGCATCCACCTGCAGAGCCTCCAGCTCTGTTCATTCACTCCCTGTCTCTTTATACAGGTTGACGGGCTTCTCTTCTATCACAAGCAAACCCACTACACCCCCGGCAGCACCCCGCTGGTGGGCTGGCTCCGGCCCTACATGGTACCCGAAATCCTGGGGCTGGCCGTGCCCGCCACCGTGCTCACTGCCAAACCAGCCTACGCTGCGCGGCAGCTCCAGCAGATCATTGAGAGCAAGAAGAGCAAAGAGCTGGCAGCAGCAAAGGGGGACCCGAGCAGCTCGGCGGCCACAAACGGCCACTACGAGCTGGAACATTTGTCCACCCCTCAGCCAGGAAACGCTCCCGAGGGCTGGGATGGAGCAGGGAGCCACATGGAGAACTGAATTAGGCTGCTGGGACAGAGCGGTTGGGTAGGAGAAAGGAAAAGGTTCCCTGCTTCTCACTGTCCCTCACGCTCCCTGAGAAGGGGGCAAAGGTAATGAAGATAGGATGTGTTTAAAGGGCATGAAGGCAGAACGTCTGCTGCAAGTGCCTCTCTGGGTTATGATGATGTTGGGTTTTTGTTAGCTTTCTTTTTTTGCCAGGGCTTTTGTGAAGCCTCAACGGGACTGCCCGGCTCTTTGCTAAGGCAGTCGTGCGGTGGGAAATGAAACGATCCCGCTTCAGCTCCTCACCCTGCTGCTGTTAAAGCCCCTGGCAAAGCTCCAGCATAGGAACAGTGCTCAGACCTCCGAGGTGCAGCTGCTGCTTGTAGCAGCTCCACCTCCCCAGCCCCGGAAATCAGCCTTTGATCCAGCTCTTTCCCCAGCCCTTCTCAATGCAAGTGTTGTGGTCAGTCCCCTTCTGGGAACCCAAAGTTTACAACAGGCTGCTGTAAATCCGAAGGCTGAGCTTTCCACACCCCACCTCACAGAGAAAACCCCAATTCCCTCGTATCCCCTGCCTCCAGGCACGGCTTTGTGCACACGAGCATGGCAGGAGCCTGTCCTCGAGGCTTTCCTCAGTAGGGGGAGGAAGGAATGGTTTTGCTCTGAAAAACGCCAGCATTGATCGTGCCAAATAAAAGGTTTCTCAGAAAGACAAATTCTTGAGCGTCTTCCTGCTACCTAAGGGTGGCTGCGTGCTGCGCCTCCAAATAGGGCTGAGAAACTGCTCACAGCACTCCCTGGAGCAGAGGAAACGCTCCTGTGGGTTCCAGTCTCCGCTGTCCCTCTTGGCTCAGGCCAAGCCCGCTTTGCGAGCACCAGCTGCTGCCTCTCCCTGGTTTTAGCAGGGAGGAAACGATCCTCCTCCGTATCCACAGGTTTGTTTTCCAGAGGGAGCTGCAAACCCTCTTGCCATGGGGTGAAACACCAAGCTAAACACAGCCCTTTCATCCATGCAACTGCCCCGGAGGAGGGCCAGCATCCAGGCAGAGATAGGGCGCGCAGGGCTGGCTGCCTGCAGATAGCGGGGGCACTTGTATCCTGCCCTCCCACCCCTGGCTTTCCCAGAAGAAGGCTTGTTCCCGTGCCAAGCGTGTGGGCTGCCTGCGCGCTGACCGTGCAGCCGCTATTGATTAGAGCAGCGGGCAGCAGGAACTGGCCTCACTCCCCCTGCTCCGGAGGGGAGGAAGCAGCCCCTCGGCTCTGCAGCGTGCGGATGCGGGCTCTGAACGGCTGCTTATTTGATGAAGGTTTAGTGTGATTTAATAAAGCCGCTGGCCTGGGAGGACAAACATGTGGGCTGCCTTGTCCTCCCCAGGCTGCTGGTTCCCCCCATCCTTTGGCTGGCAGGGAGAGCCCTGGATGCCGGGAGCCCGCATCCAGCCTCCTGGCAGCGGAGTTTTCCTTCCATTCAGGCAATTAAAGCCGGAGGTGGGCATCTGGATGTCAGCTCTGCGCATCCCTCAGGGCAAGAGAAAGCTGCAGCTCCGGTTACCGCTGCCCTGCAGCAACTGTTCAAGGTCCTGCAGCCTCCGGAATGGGAGTGGGAAGGGGAGAGAACCCAGCTGAAGATGGGGGCTGCTTTCTGCTGCGTGCTCCGATGGATGGAAGGGAGCGAGAGCGAAGCAACCGGAGCTTCCCGCTGGCTCCAGATGATGCTGCATAGTTTCCCTTTTAAAAGCAGAAGCTGGGGCTGGAGGAATAAATATTTGCCTTCCAATTCCTGTTGGAAACGCAAGGCTGTGTTTGGAGAGACGGTGTTAAACGGGAAGTCACCGGGGCCAGCGCCGGTTGTTGCTGTGACTGTTTTATGTGCTGGGTGCGATCCCGCTCCGCTCCCAACGGGAAGGGGCAGCAGCTTCAGCAGGGACAGAGGTGGGGTCACCCCCCCTGAGGGCTTTAACTGCGGCTGTGTTGCCACCACAGTCCTCCTCGGGTCAACAACGTCCCCTTATGCCAGGGCCTGGGCTTTGGTGGGGCACAGGACCCTGCTCCTTCCCCGCAGACCCTCGGCACTCCCCAGCCGGGGAACGCGGTTTCGGGATCGCAGGGGAGGAAAGAGCTGGGAATCCCGGCCGCGGCCCCTCCTGCCCCGGGGGGAGTGCTGCGAGCATCCAGCGCTGGCAAAGGAGGACTCTGATGCCGGGAAGGGCCGGCGGGGAGAGGCGAGGCTGCGGGTGCCCCGGGGAGCCGGAGCCCCGGCCCGGGGTCACGCTCACACAGGACAGAGCGCATCCAGGGATGGACGTGGGGCCCCGGGGCGGGCAGAGCGGAGGATGGCGGCCGGAGCTCCCCGCCACCATCTTAACGGCTGCAGCTGCCGCTGGGGGGGCCGGGGAACGCGGTGGCCCCCCGGGCTGAGCCGAACCGAGCCCGGGCAGGGCCATGGTGGAGGTGCCGGCCCCCAGCTCCCCGCCGGGAACGGCTTCCGGGCCCCCGCCTCCTCCCGCCGGGGCCGGGCCGAGGGAGGAGGAGGAGGAGGAGGAGGAAGAGGAGGAGGGGAGGGGGCTGTGGGCGCTTCCTGCCGCCGCCCCCACCGGGGCAGAGCGGAGCGGGAGCTGAGCCCGGCCCGGCCCAGCCGAGCGGCGCTTCCCTGGGGCCAGCGGAACTTCCCGGGGGGCCGCGGACAGCGCCGTTTGTTACCGGTATCTCGGGGCTCAGCTCGGATCTTGGGGCACTTTCGGCGGGGACCCCGGGGCGGAGCCGCCCTCGCCCAGCCTGCGGTGGCCGGGAGGGGCCGGTGCCAGCAGCGCCGCCGGTCCCCGGGGATGGGCTCCGCCGGGGCGCCCGCCGCTTAGCCCGGCTCTGCTCGGCACGGCCCGGCCCGGGGCACAGCGGGGCCACGCAGCATGGCCGCGGAGCTCAGCGCCGAGGAGGAGCAGGTAGGTCCCCGCCGGGTCGGGCTCGGGCTGGGCAGGACCCCGTGCGCTGCTCCCGTACCGGGCTCTCCCGGGGTGGTTTTTTCCCAGTGGGGCGGTTCTCCCTAAGGAAAATCCCATCTACAAAGCCCCCACCCCGCTCCGGACATCCCCGCACCCGCTATCCCCGCACACTGCACCCGCACAGCACCCCCATCGCTCAGGGCTCCCCGCACACCCAGAGGCCTGCGCAGGGGCGTGCAGGGCGCTGGGGTCCCGCACCCCCGGTAGCGGGGAGCCCCCCCCCCCCCCGGTGCCGGTGCCGGTGCCGGTGCTTGGCCCCGCAGGGCCGGGGGGCAGCCTGGCGCGGGGCTGCGTGTGCACGCTCTTCCCACGCCCCAGGCCGCCCGTGACGTCCCGGCTTCCTCCGCCGGCCCTTGCGTCACCGCGGGAGGATGTTGCTGGGCTCCATGGAGCCAGGCGGGGAGCACGGGATGGAGACGGCAGCCCCCGGCTCCCCCCCCTCCCCCGCCTCCTTTGTGTGCCCCCATCACCAGCGGTGCCCACGCTGGGCTCTGCATCCGCACCCCGAGCCCGCTGGACCGGGATGCGGAGGCTTCCTCGAAGCCAGGCTCCCCTCGGGTGGTCGCATCAGCCAGCTTGGGGCTGCGGTGCAAAGGGGAAAGGGACCAGGGGGTCGCTTTTGGGTTTGGTTGGTTGCTTTTCTCCTTTAAAACATCCATCTTGTCCATGGGGGGGGTTCCTAAGCCCCCATTGCCCCGCTCAGCCAGAGCTGGATGAGTCCATCCCGCAGCCCATGCTTGGGAAACGCAGCACTCCCAGGGTTTCTCCTCCACCACACCTCCCTCTTATCAGCTCCGCTCCCAGAGCCTATCCCCAGGGTAATCGAATCTGCGGGAGGTGGGGGTGTTTGTGCCCCATGTCCCTGCGCGTGCCCTTGATTTGTGTTCTGCATCACTGAGAGGGCAGAGCTTCCAGCAGGCATGGCTCTGGAAGCCCCTGCTCTGGCAGGGAGGCTCGGTTTGGTTTGGTTTGCATTGAGAGCTGATGTCCAGAGGGTTTGTTCTGTGTGGGAATAGTGGATGGGGAAGATGAAGGGGTATTTGCAGTAAGGGCTTCAGGTCTGGGTCATCAGGCTGCCCTTGGTGCGGGCCTCTGTGTCTTAGAAGCCAAAATAGTGTCAGTTTCTTTCTTCTCATTGGTGTCCATCCCTTTCCTGCCACGCTCTCATCCTCCTTGGGATCATCGGGATTTCCTCTGCTTGCTCCATTCCCCCCCGTTACCAACAGCAAGCCTGGGGTGAACTCACCCCTCTCCTCTCCCTGCCAGCCTCGGGTTGTGTCCTGCTCTATAGGATCTCTGCAGTTCCCAGCCTATCCCAGAGGGACCAAGCGGATGTTCCTCGGGGGTTTTTAGCCCATCTGCCATGTTACAGGAGTCATTCCTCCCCCGGTGCTGAAGGAGGAGGGTGGCTTTGAAGAGCCCCATGTTCCATGGCGGTGGCTTTGTCACCACCCTGCCCTGGCGCAGCGGGGACGCAGATGACGCCAGCGTTCCATAGAGCAGCATTGTTCAAAGTGCCCGGCTGCGGGCCATGGCACCCCTGGTTCCTGCTGCCACCCCGGAGCCAGACCCCTCCACACCTCTCTGAATCCATATGGGATGGGGACACAAACGATGGTGGGAGCCTGGTGCTGATGCTCAGCTGGGTAACACTCTCCTGCCATTGAGTGTCAGCACTGGTAAGCTCGGGATGTTGTTTTGTTCCTGGAGAAAGCTGGAATTCATGGCTGCCAAACCAGTGCTTGTTTATGTGGAGCTCCCTCCTTGCAAACACCCCGGCATCCCTCGAATTGGATCCTGGAAATGGGATTGCACGCAGTGTGGTGTGTTGGATGCTGAGGAAGGAGACACTGAATCACACAGCGCATCCTCTTGCCGCTGTCACTGTGCCCCTCGGGGCATCCTTCCCATCATCTCAGGGTGTCTTTCTCATCTCCAGCTGTGGTGTTGGTCTGAGGGCAGTGGGAATGTGCCTGGCATCCCTATGCCACGCTGGGGAGGGAGGATCTCTGCTGTTGGTTTGGGTTTGCATCTGTAGCGCAGCTTTGGGGCAGCTGGGGGACTTCCTGGCAAAGCTGGGGATCTGTTCCTCATCTTCGCTTATGGATAGGATACATACATATATATATGAATAGGATATGTATATGGTAGGATATATACATATATACACACACATGATGTGAGTGCTGTGTTAAGGCTGAAGGTGGTTTGTGTATAGACCCCTTTATTTTTCCGTCCCACTTCAACACAGGGGAAATGGTTGGAAATCTGGTCTATAAAAGAGCTGGTTTTGTTTTGCCAAAGCAGAGGCTGCTGGAGATGGAGCCATGAAGATAAATGTGCCCTATCAGTGCAGCTCCCAGGAAGAGCTCCTGCCAGGCACTGGGAGGGGTTGTTGGATGCTCTGTCTCCTTGGTGCCCCACTTTACCTGTTCCCCACCAGTCCCTTGTCCCCCACTACTGCAGATAAGTGGGGACCGATCCCACTGGCAAAGGAAGGGCTCAGAGCCAGGCTATTGAGATGCTCTTTCAGGTTGCTCCTGGCTGATGCTTGCCCAGACTCTGATATGAGTTAGGGAGCTCCTGGCTGCGATGAGCCGGGGGTCTGAGCTGTTCTTTAGCACCTTCCCATAGCCGGATGAGCCCTTTCCCCTTTGGAACCTGTCTGTTGTAACGCTGGGAATGTGACCCCTGGGATGAGCCAGGCTCCTTTGGCTCATGTCATGAGTGGGGCTCGCTGCTGCTGCCAGCCTTGCGCCGCCGATAAACCCCGGCCCTCGGCTTCCTCCGGTCGGAAGTCATTAATGCCGAGAGCTTTTCTGGCTCAATGGCTCCAGTAACTCCGTGCCTGACATCCAACACCGCCGCCTGCCTGCGCTGCCTGCACCCGGAGCCAGCCTTCGGCGCTCGCTCTCCCTCCTCCTCCTCCCCTTGTGCCTGCCATGGCATCCTCTGCTCTCGTGAGGATGGAAACCCTCCGCTTCGGGGGGTGGGAGCGGGGTGTTCCGGGGACTCCCTCCATCCTGCCCGCATCCTTTGAGGGGTACACGATCCCCCTCAGGGCTCCTGTTCGGCGCAGGGGCTCAATACACAGCACAAAGGGAAGATGCTTCCATTAGCACATGAGGTTCAGATGCATTTCTGATTCATACATTTAGGGTTATTTTGCTGGCATTCGGGGCTTGGAGGCCTGCTGGGAGGTTGAAGGTTCATTTTGTGACTTTGCTCCATCAGTGCTGGGGTTGGAAAAGTTTCTTGGTTTCTCCTGATTTGGGGTGCTTGGGGAGGGAAGGGTGCTTGTGCAGGATGGCCCTAGTGTATTACGGGGCTGTGAGGAGCAGCGGAAGCATCCTAGGACCGTGCACTGAACCCTTCTCACCTGGTCTCCTATGGCCATGTGAAACTGGCCTTACTGGGTGAGCTGGTCCGTGTCCTGAGCATGTCGAAGCACCAGCCCTTGTTACCCACGTTCACATGGCCACGGTTGCTGCTCCACAGCGGAGCTGCAGCCCTGGGGGCCGTTGTTGGGTGATGGATTCCCTCTGCGCTGGGGTTGCTGTGTCTGAACAGGAGTTTGCTGCCTGTAAAACCCTCCTTCCGCTCCCCCTCTCCCTCCCATGCGTCTCCCCCAGCCCCAATGCCAGCACCCTCCCACTGGGTCCCTTCCCCACGCTGGCATTGCCCCATCTCCATCCTCCTTCCCCAGTACTTGCTGTAGAGCTCCCAGCCTCACCCAGAGGAGCTGTTGAGCCATGCTCAGCCCCTGCCCATGCACTGAGGACCATGTAGCTCCCACTGTATCCAGGGATGCTCCTGGGTCACTGTTCCCCATCCTGCTGCACACCCCTCGTCTCTCCTGCAGGCGACCAAGCAGTTCCTGGAGGAGATCAACAAGTGGACGGGCCAGTACAATGTGTCCCCGCTCTCCTGGAACGTGGCCGTCAAGTTCCTCATGGCCCGCAAGTTCGACGTCCTGCGCGCCATCGAGCTCTTCCACTCCTACCGGGTAAGCAGGGAGGGCTTCAGCTCTGTGGGATCTCTGGTCCCACGGATGTCCCTTCCCTTAGGATCCCAGCCTGGGTTGGGTTGAAGGGACCTTAAAGCTCATCCAGTCCCAACCCATGCCACGGGCAGGGACCCCTTCCCCTAGAGCAGCTTGCTCCAAGCCCCTGTGTCCAACCTGGCCTTGAGCACTGCCAGGGATGGGGCAGCCACAGCTTCTCTGGGCACCCTGTGCCAGCGCCTCAGCACCCTCACAGGGAACAGCTTCTGCCTAAGAGCTAAGCTCAGTCTCCCCTGCTTCAGTGTGAACCCATCACCCCTTGTCCTATCACTGCAGTCCCTGATGAAGAGTCCCTCCCCAGCATCCTTGTGGCCCCCTTCAGACACTGGAAGCTGCTCTGAGGTCTCCACACAGCTTCTCTTCTCCAGGCTGAACAGCCCCCATTTCCTTAGCCTGTCCCCCAGTTTTCTCAGCCTGGTTTTGTCTTTTTCTTTCACTCGCTTATGAGTTTTATCTGGATGGAAAACTCCTATTCCAGCCATGGCGATCACTATGGAGATCCTGGTGACCCCAATCCCCTCCACTGAGAACAGTGTGTGCGATGCTGCAGAGCATCTCCCCATAGATAAAGGATATATACACACCAGTAATACCTTTCCCATCCTAGTTTTGCTTAGCTGCTCCTCCCTATGCTTGAAAATGGGGCCACGGAGCAGGGGTTTCCCCTGGGGGGCCGGGTGCCCCATAGGGATGTGAAGGTGGGTCACACCAGCTCCCTGCCCGCAGGAGACGCGGCTGAAGGAGGGCATCGTGAAGCTGAAGCCACACGAGGAGCCGCTGCGCTCGGAGCTGCTCAGTGGCAAGTTCACCATCCTGGTAGGTTGGGGTCCCCCCCTCCCCGAGGTACCCCCTGGTGCTGGGGGTGGCCTGACCCTGTTCCCTCTCCAGAGCGTGCGGGACCCCTCGGGAGCCTCCATCGCCCTCTTCACAGCCAAGCTGCACCACCCCAGCAAGAGCGTGCAGCATGTGGTGCTCCAGGCGCTCTTCTACCTGCTGGACCGAGCGGTGGAGAGGTGAGCCTGCGGGGTACACGTCCCGGGGGTGAGGGGAGATGCTGCTGCGTGCTGAGGGCTTGGTGAAACCCCTCAAAAGGCTTCACGGGGAAAGCATGTGCCACCTTCCCATGAAGGTGAACTCCTGTGTGCCTCTGTGTATCCCATCTATAGTTAGGGGAGAGAAGGGGTCACAGCATCCTGTGTCTTCCCCTGGGTTGAAGTCAAGCCAGGCATCCCCATGGGGACGTTCAGCAGGGGAACAAAGCCCCTCCAGCCCTGCAGCAGGCTCTTTCCAGCCTTTCCCTGCCCTCATCCAGGTTTCAGTGCAGCAGAGCCCCTGGTTCCTGCAGGCTTTGGCTGGGGAGCAGCAGCCCTGCCACGGGTAATGTGAGCCCTGCCAAAAATACAATGCCAGGATGTCCCATGTATCCTGCTGGGCTCTTTCTGGTTTTGAACATACCCATCATGGGTGGTGCAGCTGAGACGGGCTTAAGGCTTAAGCCAAGGCTTAAATAAGGGTTCTTAAATAAGGAGCAGCTGGGAAATGCAGAAGTGAGGCTGGGTCCTGGAAGCACAAAGGGGAATTTTTGGAGTCAGCAAGTGGAGGGCAGGGCTAGACTGCTTGTGCAGGAGCTGAGCGGTTGGATGTGATGGGGTTGATGTTGGTCTTTGCCATCTCTCAGCTTCGAAACGCAGAGGAACGGGCTGGTGTTCATCTACGACATGGCAGGCTCGCAGTACACCAACTTTGAGCTGGACCTCAGCAAGAAGATCCTCAACCTGCTCAAGGTAAGGGTGAGGGTTGACCTGGTGTCTGGGGGTGGCTTTGCTCACCAAGGACATGAAGTGCTGTGGGCTTGGGGTGGGTTTCCACCCTGGACCATGCTGACCATGTCTCGGCTGAAGTGCACCAGCCCCATAGGGCTCAGGAAGGCGCTGGGAGCCAGACCCAGCCATGCTGCAGTATCCCATGGCGGGGAGGGCTCAGCTGTCCCGGCTGGAATTCCTCCTGCAGCTGCTGGCAGCGCTGTTGGGAAAACAGATGCAAGTTATTCTCCAATCGTGCTGGCATTTGGTGCCTCCTCCCTTCGCTGGAAGGAAGAAATAACAGCAAATACTGGCTGGGGTGTGCGCTCTGAGCAAACCCGGGCTCCCCCGCAGAGCCAATCCCTTATCCTGCCTAATTCCATGGAAATCATTTGATTTCCTATGGGAAAAAGATGTGCTTCAGATGTGGCACTGCCGCTTCGGGGTCCCTTCGGTATCACCTCTGCTGGGCCATGCCCCCACACGCTGTCAGAGCATGGAGAGGGGCTGGTTCCTGCCCCACAGCGTGGCTCTGACCCCCTCCTGCCCACAGGGAGCCTTCCCGGCCCGGCTCAAGAAGGTTTTCATCGTGGGAGCGCCCATGTGGTTCCGTGTGCCCTACTCCATCATCAGCCTGCTGCTCAAGGAGAAGCTGCGGGAGCGGGTGAGCGCAGGGACCCCAGCACGGGACCATTGGGGAGGGCTGGGGCTGGTTTCCTTTTGGGACAGGATGGTGTAAGCACCCTGTGCCCCTCAGCCCCATCCACTGAGCCCAAATCCATGAGAAGCAGAGGCTCCCTCGGTTTCCTCCATAGGAGCCAACCTGCTTTGGTGTTTTCAGCAAGTAGCTTTGGAAATTGCCTTTGGTTTCTTCCCTTGTGGGGCGGCTGCCAGCAGCAGCAAGTGGGGGCAATGGTAAAGCATTAAAGGGAAAGGAAACCTCTGCTGAGCACACAGGAGAAAGGGAACTTTCAATACCTGTGCTCAGGCCCTACCTGGCAAAGGCAAACCCACCTGAACCAGCATCCTCAGCACCAGTGGTGCTGATAGAGCCCAGCTCCATGCTGATATCTCCCTGGGCTGGACTTTGCCCCTCTGCTTTGGGTAGGAGCTCAGGAATGTGGAGCTGGGTGTCAGTGTGGACTCCCACCCTGGGAACATGAGGTGGGGACAGCCTTTGTTGCCCCACTGATGTCCTCTCAGGTCCCCTCCCAAGGCAGAGGAGGAAGGGGGAAGACCCCAATGCAGGTTGGGGTCCATGGGAACTGGTCCAGGCTGTTGTGATCTCTGTCCCCTTCCCCTCAAACCCTCCCCATCCTTCTTGGAGTCACCCCTGTGCTTCCCTGTCCTCCTGCAGGTGCAGATGGTGAAGATGTCGGAGCTGAAGGAGCACCTGCCCCGGGAATGCCTCCCCGAGTACCTCGGGGGGTCCCTCAGACTGGACCCCCTGAGCTGGAACTGCCGGTTCCTGCCGCAGCAGAACGGGCACCCCGACCCCCTGGACGAGCTCATCCTGGTGCCGCTGGCGGCCCCCAAAGACAACGGCTCCGTCCACGTCCCCGGGCCCAAGTCCGTGACGCTGCAGGAGCTGCTGGAGCACGTCAGCCTCAAGCAGAAACGCGGCATCTATGAGGAGTACGAAGACATTCGGCGCAGGAGCCCCGCGGGCACCTTTGTGTGCTCTTTGTGAGTTGGGGGCAAGGAGCCCATTGGGGGGACCCCTCTCTTGCAGACCCCTTCCCTGTGCTCCTGCTGCCTCTTTGAGGTGCGCTGCTCTGGGTTAGCCATGGAGAGCCCCAGCTTAGTGATGCTGCCAGCCGCCTTTGGGGCTCTTGCAGCCGCAGGGGGACAGCGGGGACAAGGAGCTGGCTGGGACTCTGCTTCCCGAGGCTTTGGCCAGCTGATGGCAGCAGAGCCCATGCTACAGGCACTGAAGGCTTGTGTGGAGGGAGAAACGTTCCCTTTCCTTCCCTGCCTAGAAAGCATCCCTACTTCCCTCTCTTCTCCCCTGCCTCCCAGGGCACCCTACAACCAGGAGAAGAACCGGTATGGGGACGTGCCCTGCCTGGACCAAACCCGTGTCAAGCTGGCGAAGCCGTACAGCCGCCCAGAGGTGAGCCAGCGGGGATGGGAATGTGGGGTACCCCCATCCTGGCTGTCCCCCCATCCTGGCTGTCCCCCCATCCTGGCTGTCCCCCCATCCCAGCCATGGAGCTCCAGAGGGCTCATGCTGTGCATGCTTTTGTCCCTGCAGCTGACTGACTACATCAACGCGAGCTTCATGGATGGCTACAAGCAGAGGAACGCTTACATCGGGACTCAGGGTACGGCGCAAGCCACCAAGGGGTCATTTTGCTCCTGGTGCATGAGTGGGCTTCACCTCCCTGCCCAGCATCAGTCACTGCCCACAGTGGGGGACATCCCGGGAGCAGGGAGCAAGTCCCCTGCTCTGTGGGTGGATTTGGCCCTCTCTGGGTCCCATCTGCCCAGGGATGAAGCAGCAGGGAGCAGAGAGGGGGGATCAGGGCTGAGCCATAGGGATTTGGTGCTGGAGCAGGGGACAGTCGCTTGCAGCTCCAGGCAGGGTTGGTGGATCCACACTGGGGTCGGTGCCCATGGGAAAGGGCTCTGGTTGCGGGTAAGGGACTACTGGGCAAAGGGGCTTGATGCATGTGGTATCCCTGCAGGGCCTCTGGAAAACACCTATGGGGACTTCTGGCGCATGGTGTGGGAGCAGAACGTCCTGGTGATCGTGATGACAACCCGGTGAGTGCTCATGGGGGCACAGCTCGGGTTGCCTTGGGGAAAGGAGCGTTTCTGATGTTGGACGGGCAGCGCCGTGCTCCCTGCAGTGACCCTGCAGCCGTGGTGCCAGGCAGAGCCTCGCAGCGTGGGGGAATCGCATCAGGAGTAGGCCATTCATCCCATGTGGGGACCAAAGGCGGGTGGCATGGAACATGTCCCTAAGCAAGGCGGGGAGGACATCACCAGCTTGTCCTTGTGCTGCTCCCAGGCTGGAGGAGGGAGGCAGGAGGAAGTGCGGGCAGTACTGGCCCCTGGAGAAGGACACGAAGGTGTGCTTTGGGGCGCTGACCATCACCAACCTGGGCGTGGAGAACCTCAGCCACTACAAGAAAACCATCCTGGAGATCCACAGCTCGGAGGTGCGTGGCTGCAGCAGCCTGGCAGGGGGACACCGGGGTCCTCCATGGCCAGGGGAGAGGTCTAACCCCACTGCTTGCCCCCAGACCAGGGAGCGGCGGCTCGTGTCCCACTTCCAGTACCTGAGCTGGCCGGATTACGGCGTCCCCTCCTCTGCTGCCACCCTCATTGACTTCCTGGGGGCTGTGAAGCAGCAGCAGCGGGTGGCAGTCAGTGCCCTGGGACCTCGCTTCAAGGGTCACCCAGGGGGACCCCCAGTCGTGGTGCACTGCAGCGCTGGCATCGGCAGGACAGGTAATGGGGATGAGGATTTGGTGGGCCCAGGAGAATTACAGAATCCCAGCCTGGTTTGGGTTGAAGGGACCTTAAAGCTCACCCAGCTCCAACCCCTGCCACGGGCAGGGACCCCTTCCACTGGAGCAGCTTGCTCCAAGCCCCTGTGTCCAACCTGGCCTTGAACACTGCCAGGGATGGGGCAGCCACAGCTTCTCTGGGCACCCTGTGCCAGCGCCTCAGCACCCTCACAGGGAAGAGCTTCTGCCTAAGAGCTCAGCTCAGTCTCCCCTCGGGCAGGTTCAAGCCATTCCCCTTGGCCTGTCCCTACAGGCCCTTGTCCCAAGCCCCTCTCCAGGTTTCCTGCAGCCCCTTTAGGCATTGGAGCTGCTCTAAGGTCTCCTCTTCAGGAGCCTTCTCCAGGCTGCCCCAGCCCAGCATTCTTGGGCACTAGATGCTGGCTTCTGATGCCCATGGCATCACGCAGGAAGTTGGTGGGTGTGCTGATGGCCACTGCTGCCCCTCTCTGATTCTCCCAAGAGGCTGCAGTGTCTCTTTGGTGGCTGACCCCATCCCCGTCGCCATCCCCAGGTACCTTCTGCGCCCTGGACATCTGCCTGTCGCAGCTGCAGGACGTGGGCACGCTCAACATCTACCAGACGGTGCTGCGCATGCGGAGCCAGCGCGCCTTCAGCATCCAGACCCCCGAGCAGTATTACTTCTGTTACACCGCCATCCTGGAGCACGCCCAGCGCGAGGGGCTCCTGCTCACCAACCACAGCCGGCCCGCCCCGGACAAGAGCTCGCCGGGACACTGAGACCCACAGGACCCGGGGCTGCCAGAGCCGCCTCTGCGCCCACCGGGACCCAGCAGTGTGCAGGCACTGCCCATCCGTGACCATTAGCACTGCTGTCAAACTGTGCCTTATCAACCCAAGGGGTGGCTGTCGCTCACTGGGGGCAGAGGATGGCATGGAAGAGGCTCTCGCTCCTCCCCATGGTGTTTGTGATGGGTGGGTGGTTGGCTGGTTGCTTGGGGAGGTGTGGTTTTTCTTCTCTTGGAGTTGTGTTCTTCTTTTGTTTGATATATTGGTTTGGTGGGACCATCTCAAATGTATCTAAGAGGGGCTTTGTAAAGCCCTAGGAAATGTATTTCCAGTCCTGCCCCTGCCGGGGGCTTAGGAAGAGGCACCTACTTCAGTCTTACCTGCCACTACGTCTGTGTGTCTGTATGTATGTGTGTATATAATATATCCACGCTGTGCCCGACCCCGGCTATTATATAGATACATATATACAAGCACCCGTTACTGCAGCTCCCGTGGGGCCCTCCTGTCCTGCCCTCTCCCTGCTGTGATCCCTGGAGCGGTGAGTTTGGGCCTGGCTCTGTCTTGTCTTCCTTTGTTTCCCCCTTTCCTGCCTCCCCTGCTCCCCACGGGCAGCACTGGTACCCGGTACCCTATGGGGATGCTCAACAGCATCCCCTGCTTCCCTTCTCTCGTCTTCCCCATCCTCACCTCCCGCTGGGAGCCTGTGCTCCTGGGAGGAGGATCTGGAGGCCATTGGCTGTGGGTTGGCTCACCAGCATCCCCTGCCCCTTGGGGCCTCACTAGGTACGAGGTGATGGGGCCGGACAGAGGGATGCATGGGGACCGACCGGCTCTCCAGGTTGCCAGCAGTGGGAACCCAGCCCTGTGGTGAGTCACGGGCTGGAAGAGCGCTGAGCACAAAGAGCCTGGGCCCTGGAGAGGTGACAACCGAGGGCCGGGGAGCTGGGGCTGCAGCGCCTGCACCTCGGGCCTTTATACTGTAATAAGCTCTTTGAATGTGTATATTCTTATTTTTTTATAATCTGGGGGGGTTGAGGTTTTGTTTGGTTGGTTTTTGGTTTTTTTTTTATTTAACATTAACTTGATCCAAGCCAGAGCCAGAAGTTATTTGTAAATGTTCCTATTTTGCTCTCGTTCAGAGAAACGTTTTTGTTGTTGTTACTTTTTGGGTTTGGTTTTGATTTGATTTGTATCGACCTATAAATATACTACCAGTGACCAGGCCTTTGGGCTCTTGTGGAGTCAGTCTGGGGCAGGAGAGGAGAGAGAGGGAAGTTGAGGGCTTTGTGGTCCCCAAAAATCAAGCTGGCCTCATCCCCGGGGGCACACAGCCCTGCCACAGCCTCATAGCACTGTGGGGAACATGGGGTGGGATATGCATGGGGCTGGAGGGCTCAGGCCCTGGTCCTGGGTGAGGCCCCATGGGAGATAACCAGGCTGCAGGCAGTGTCCCTGGGCAGGCAGGATAAGGGCTGGAGGGAAGGAACAAGCTCCCTTCCATGCTCCTACCTCTGTTCTCATGCCCCACAGCATCCTCTCCTGTCCTCCTTCAAGCAGCAGGCTCTTTGGAGCTGCCTCTTTGTGTAGTCCCTTTCTCCACCTTCCTTCCTTCTATCTTTACGAGTAATTCCTTAGGAAGTGCCACCCTGATGACACCAAACCTCTGCCTGTGAGGAAAACCCAGGCCTTAGCTGGAAAGGCAATGCCCTGGATGGAGGGGCCAAGCAAGCAGGGCCACACTGTCAAAAAGGATGGGCTGATTTGAGCAGGGTTGTGATGCTACAGGTGTCACTCAAGGAATGGAAGCAAAGATTAAAGGAATGGAGGTGTTGGGCATTACTGGTATTTCTTCAGCTCCTTCCATCCTCTGGGCAGCATCCATTGTCTTCCTGCTGTCGGGAGCATTCAAATGGTGGCAGCAGCATTTGGCTGCTGGATTTGGGGTGAGGGCACAATACCGCATGGGCACAGCTGGAGGGGAACGTGGCTGGGCTGGCTGTGAGCTCCAGGGGTGACCGCCTGCCCCAGCGCCTTTGGGTGCGAGTGATGCCAGTCCTGGAGCAGCAGCCACAGCCTGAGGCTTCAGGGAAGGGAAGACATAAGGTGGCGGGTGCAAATGAAGCCCTAGAGCCAGCAGGAGAGCACATGTCCCCGAGCAGGCTCACAGATAGGTGGGAAGAGCAGCATCTGTGTTTGCTCAGCTGGAGTGAGAAGAAGCCAAAAGAGGCCTTTCTGCCATTGGGAGAAGAGGAAACCTGCAAGCTGTGTCAGACTTGGCCATGCCAAACGGGGGCCAAAGCATGGGTGGGATGGCTGGAAAAGGACTGGTGGCAGCAGCAGGGTGTCTGTCTCGGAAGGGTGCATGCCCCAGTGCCATGGCTGGGTGGGATTTGAGTACTCCTGGTGCCGGGCATGTCCTGCCTGTGGAGCTGTTTTGTTTCAGCTGGGGGGTCTCCTTCCTGCTGTGCTCCTCAAGCAGCGTCGGCCTGACCTGCAAAGCAGCTCCCCCAATTGGGCTGGCCTGGAGTTTCCCTCCCAGTGCCTGTTGCAGGGCAGCTCCAGCATCCAAGGGAGCTCCTCATGCCTGGGAAGAAGGATCCTGGTGCCCTTTCTTCACCCAGCTGAGCTTTCCTGCTGGCATGTGTGCAGGAAATCCAGAGCAGGGCAATGGAGCTGGTGCAGGGCTGGAGCACAAGGGTGATGGGGAAGGGCTGAGGGACCTGGGGGGGTCAGGCTGGAGAAGAGAAGGCTCAGGGGGGACCTGATCACTGCCTCCAACTGCCTGACAGGAGGATGGAGCCAGGAGGGGCTGGGCTCTGCTCCCAAGGAACAAGGGATGGGACAAGAGGAACCGGCCTCAAGCTGCACCAGGGCAGGTTTAGATGGAGCTGAGGAACAATTCCTGCCCCAGAGGTGCTCAGGCATTGGAACAGGCTGCCCAGGGCAGGGCTGCAGGCACCGTCCCTGCAAGTGTTCACACAGCGTGGAGATGAGGCCTCAGTGCCATGGGTTAGTGGTAGCCTGGGCACTGATGGGGAACAGTTGGACTTGAGCTTACGGGTCTTTTCCAGCCTGGTTGATCCAGTGATTCCATGATTCAGGAAGGGGGTGTTTGCGTCTCATTTTCAGGCCTGTGCTGTGAGCAGTGGCTCTCCCTAGGCTGTCAGGAAGGTGCTGGGACCACAACCCAGCTTTAGGTTATGCCCTGTGTCCCACGGGCTGTGGAATCCCACCCAACCCCACTCAGCGTGCAAGGGTAAAGGCAGTTGTGCCTTTTAGCTGAATTCTGTGTGATGTGGGCATGGAGAACCAGAGCATTTCCAAGAGACCCGTGTCCTGGCTGCCCATCAGCATCATGGTAGAACACCAGGCACCACTGTAAAGAGGGTGTTTAACCAAAAGGCACTTCAGGTTCATGTTAATATATATTTATTTTAAGCTTAATTTTTCTTTTTTTGCCTTTTAGAATGTGTTAAGAGCAGCAGTCGGTGGGGCTGGACTTCAAACTGGAGGGTTGGAGGGTTTGTAACTGGCCCAGAGGCCTTCAACAGGCAAATGACAGCAGAGACAGGCAGAGGATTCCTTTGGCTGCCTTTGGACAGCAGAGTGGAAAGGGAAAACACTGGCTCTGAATGGGAATTCGTAGACCTCAGCAGCTCCCTGCAAGGAGGGACAAGATCCCATCTGTGCCGGAGGCGGAGGAAAGGGTTGTAAGCATTTTCCATGGGAAAACAACCCAAACACTCCCCCCCCACCCCAATGACTATTTCCAAGGCTGTGTTTCTTGTCAAAGCTGGTGTTTTCAGTGCTCCTGCACAACATGAGGGTTTGTTCCATCCCCTCCTCCTCCTTGTGCCAGCAGGTCCTGCTTGGCACTGGGATTTCTGTGGAAATGGCCACTTCATGCAGACAGCCAAGTGTTACTGGGAATGAAGCTTTGAGCTGCTTGAAGAGGGGTGGGAGGAGGTTTGCTTTGCCCTGCCTGCAGCATCACCCTTTCCCTGGAGCACCCCTGGGATGGGGATCAATCACTGCCAGCAAAAGTCACAGTGGGGATGTCCTAAAACTCAACAAGACCCAGCATGAAATGCAAAGAGGCTGCAGATGGGATTTAAAGGGAGATTCCAAAGTGGCGATGCCATCCCTGTGCCCACCTGTTTCACTTGGCTTCCTGCGTTTCTTGGCCGGGTGTGCACTGCCTCACTAATGACCATCACTCCAGTGCTTGTAATTGGTCCTGGGAGTGTGGAAACAGCCTGGCTCTGGAGTGCTTCATTTCTCAGCCCTCCTCACCACCAGCTTCCCATGCTTGCTCCATGGTGGCACAGAAGCCCCCCTGCAGGGTCAAGCACCTCCTGTCACAGACCTTTCAGCACCTAAACTGAGCTGCAGGTCCCAGCCAAAGAGGTGAGCGAGATGTGTGGTGTGTGCAGCTTTATTTCCTCCCTCTGGAGTGTGACCAGGCCAGGCCAGGCTCCTCCAGGCAGGCAGGGGGCTGGTTCCTGTGCAGCTGCCTCCATAACTGTGGAAATGCTGTGAGGAAAAAAATAGCAGTAGAATCCCAGCCTGGTTTGTGTTGAAGGGACCTTTAAAGCTCCAACCCCTGCCATGGGCAGGGACCCCTTCCACTGGAGCAGCTTGCTCCAAGCCCCTGTGTCCAACCTGGCCTTGAGCACTGCCAGGGATGGGGCAGCCACAGCTTCTCTGGGCACCCTGTGCCAGCGCCTCAGCACCCTCACAGGGAAGAGCTTCTGCCTTATAGCTCAGCTGAACTTCCCCTGTGTCAGTTTGAACCCATTCCCCTTGGCCTGTTGCTCCAGTCCCTGATGAAGAGTCCCTCTCCAGTATCCTTGTAGCCCCCTTCAGACACTGGAAGCTGCTCTGAGGTCTCCACGCAGCTTCTCTTCTCCAGGCTGAACAGCCCCAATGTTCTCAGCTGTCTCCATACAGGTGCTCCAGCCCCTGATCATCCTCATGGCCTCCTCTGGACTTGCTCCAGCAGCTCCATGTCCTTGCTGAGGACCCCAGCACAGCACACAGTGCTGCAGG